GTATTCAGTACAGCATTTTCCCACATTTTGCCATCTGGTCTTATGCAAAACAGGTGTTGTTTTGCAGCTAAAGAAAATGTGACCTGGGCACTTGGGTTATATGCTCCCAGTTACTGGTCTAATAATTAGCCATGAAGGCTCTGGAATTCACAGTCGCAGACACTAAAACCTGGGATTCTTGCAATGCTACAGCCATGAGCCGAGCCACACAGAAGGCCCCGGGCCATCCCTCTGCTCACCTGAGGCAAATTCACATCTGATTGCTTCCTCTGCCCTTTTGTTTATGGAGAATGGAGATTCACTGAGCCAGACTAAGGCATAAGTGACTATTCCTCTATCCCCCTCTCACATGTAAATTGCATATTCACTGTATATAGCCCATTTGACCTTCACAGCAACAGTCCTATAAGGTCACTGTCAGCCCAGCCCCCAGGACGGGCCAGAGACATAGGCAGGCAAGTACTTGGATTCTACCTGCCCCAGCTTACACACGCCGCTGGGCTAGAATTCACCTTACAGCGCTGCCTTTGTGCCCATCAGGGAGGAGGAAGGCCGCCTTTACATACCACAGACTTACAGATGCCATTCATAGACATTTCAGGCAGCACAGAGTGGAAGCCAGGAGGGCTCGGTAGGCATTCAGTGAGAAAAGTCACCTTCGCACCGCAGGCTGAGCTCATGCTCTCAATTCCCACCGGTCCTTGGAGCACCCACGCTGGTGACTAGGGCTGAGGGATGGTGGACGGAGGGCGTGCGAGGTCAGAAAGAATCGTGGAGGGGCTTCATCCAGCCTGTCCTTTATCTTCCCCCCATCCTTTCTCTTCCCCCTGGGTCCCTGCTGCCCCTGGGCTCCTTCCCAGCCTGTGCCTCATCTGGGATGTGTCCTCTGAGGCAGGCCATAGCAACTGTCCTTGACCTTATTGTTACCTACCTTCTAGGCTCCCCTCCCAGGCTTCACGTTTGGGTGGAGGATGTGGCTAGCAGACACTGTGATGCCTGCGTGCCTGGGCAAAACAGGGGAAGAGAGGAAATACCAGCTGGCTTGGCCTGTGTGTGTATGTGCACCTGTGGGTCAGCATGTGTGTGTGTGTGTCTGCATGTGTGTGTGTGTCTGCATGTGTGTGTGTGTCTGCATGTGTATCTGTGTGTGTCTGTGTGTGTGTCTGTGCGTGTGTTCTGTATGTGTGTGTATCTGTGTGTGTGTCTGCATGTGTGTCAGTGTGTGTGTCAGTGTGTGTGTCCCTGTGTCTGTGCATGTGTGTGTCTGTATGTGTGGGTGTGTATGCATATGTGTGTGTGTCTGTGCATGTGTATGTGTCTGTGTGTGTGTCTGTATGTGTGGGTGTCTGCGTGTGTGTCTGTCAGTGTGTGTCTCTGTGCATATCTGTGCATGTGTGTGTCTGTATGTGTGGGTGTGGGTGTGTTTGTGCGTGTGCATGTGTACAATATTGTTGGCTCCCCTCCAGAGAGGCCTTCTCAGACTGCCTCCTCTTAAACTAACCTCTTCATCCTCTTATTCTGATTAATTTTTTTACCCCGGCCGACACCATATTTTACACACACACACACACACACAGAGTTTATGGGTTTGTTGTCCCTCTTTCCCGCTGGGTTAACCTATTCTAGTAAAACAGAAGTTCTAGGCGGAAAGGAACCTTGCTTGTCCTGTGATTCCATGTGAGTGGCATCAGGACAGAGTCCCTGCAAGTGGAGCCAGGAAACAGGGAGGGCGGGCACAGGGGGACTGTCATCCTCCAGGCTGCAGACCAAGGTCACAGAAGCCTCCCCACCCATGGCTGAGGCCTGCTCCCGGGAAGGTTGAGAAACCTCCACCATCTCCAGGAATGGTGGCCTCTGCTTCACCAACACTATCCAAATCCCACCCAAGTTCCCCAAAGTAGTGAACCCTGACCCAGGCCCACACGTGGGAGGGATAAGAGTGTTGCTGCTGAGGGCACAGCCAGCCAAGAGACAGGAGGCTCCCAGATGCACAGCAAGCAGTTGATCAACATCCATGAATAAATGGGCAAACTAATAAGTAACCCATGGATATTTAGACTGATTTAAATGCACTACAAAGGGCCAGGCGCAGTGGCTCACACCTGTAATCCCAGCACTTTGGGAGGCCAAGGTGGGCTGATCACTTGAGGTCAGGAGTTCGAGACAAGCCTAGCCAACATAGTGAAACCCTATCTCTACTAAATATACAAAAATCAATCAGCGGTGGTGGCACATGCCTGTAGTCCCAGCTACTCAGGAGGCTGAGGCACCAGAATCGCTTGACCCCAGAGGGCGGACGTTGTGTGAGCCAAGATCGTGCCACTGCAGTCCAGCCTGGGCAACAGAGTGAGACTTGGTCTCAAACAAAAAAATGTGTTAGAAAATTTCAAGATTCTGATTTTCAACAGCTAATAATCTTGTTCATCTATTTAAGAATATTGCACAGCAATATTTATTTAACCTGTGAAAGGAAAATCAATCTCAGGACCACCAAACCACTACGCCAAGGGGAAAAGTCAAGCTGGGAACTGCGATAGGCAAACCTGCCTCCCATTTTATTCCTAAATAAGATAGCTGCAAAGATTTTAAAAGCTACATACCTCCCTCACAATTTTCCCACAGGAAATTCCTTATGGGCCTCCAGATCTTTCCCCTAGAGCAGTTCTGTTGAATTTTACCCTGATAGTATAAACCGATAGCTTCCCTTCCCAGGTGTGGGACAGAAAGTCATCCCTCTGCTCACCTGAGGCAAAGGCACATCTGATTGCTTCCTCTGCCCTTTTGTTTATGGAGAATGGAGATTCACTGAGCCAGACTAAGGCATAAGTGACTATTCCTCTCCCCCCCTCACATGTAAATTGTATATTCACTGAAAGGCTGAGCAAAAACTCAAAAGAATGCAAACTGTGGGGTCCTATCTGCCTATGACCTGGAAGCCCCCGCTTTGAGTTGTCCCACCTTTACAGACCAAACCAATGTACAGCTGACACATATTGATTGGCCTCATGTCTCCCTAAAATGTAAAAAAAGCAAGGCGTCCCCTGACCACCTTGGGCGCATGTCATGGGCAAGCCTTTCACCTCGGCAAAACAAACTTTCTAAATGGATTGAGACCTGTCTCAACTGCTTTGGGTTCACAGAACAAAAGCTCATTGTTGCCACAGTTTGCGCAACTTCTCAGCAGCCAATGCATTGAGATACATAGGTTCTGTCATCAGCTTTATTTGTGAAACCTGGTTGTTGTTCCTACCTTCAAAAGCAGGGACGTCTTTCACTTAACCTCCACCAGCTTTTATGTCATCCTGCTGTGGGCAGACCTTGTTTACCCTGCCAAGTCCCTGCCACCTGTGGCTTCAGTGGCTCATAGGCAGGAACCAAACCTTTTAATCCCTAAAATCCCAGCCCCATGCACATCCCGGCACAGAGGATAGGCTCCGTAACTGTTTGCCAAATGAGTAAAAGGAAAGGAATCTGCGCACAGTGTGCCTCATTACTAATCAGCTTGGATAAGAGCAAATCTATGATAGGTTCCATTATTTCTTCTAGTTATGCGTTAGAATACGCTCTCCCGGAACCAAGGCACACCATGGTGCAGAGATGGTTTGATGACAACCTAGTACCCAAAACACTCTATTGAGGAGGTACCCAGTTTACATGGCCATAATTCATACTAGCATTTTAGGTGAACTACAAATCCATTCATCTATTAGAGATACAGTCTGATAGGTTGGGGAGGGCATGGGCTTTGGAATCCAAAGCCACGTCTGGATCCTGACTTCCCTGTTTTCCTAGCTGGCCCTGGAAAGATTGTTTTGTATTTCACTAATGTCTCCAAACTGCCTGTCTATATTTGGGCATTATGGTCTGCTTTCCTGGGTTGTTGTAAGAATGAAATACGATGCCTGCAAACTATATGGCATAGCATTTATTGATGAGGATGTAGAGAAATCAGAACCCTTGCACACTGGGGGTGAGAATATAAAACGGTGCAGCTGCTATGGAAAACATCATGGTGGTTCCTCAAAAATTAAACATAGAATTACTATATGATCCAGTCCATTCTCGCATTGCTATAAAGAAATACCTGAGACCGGGTAATTTATAAAGAAAGAGTCTTAATTGACTCATCATTCCACCGGCTGTGTGGGAAGCATGGCTGGGGAGGCCTCAGGAAACTTACAATCATGACAGAAGGCAAAGGGTAAGCAGGCACATCTCACATGCCAGAGCAGGAGCAAGAGAGAGAAGAAGAAGGGAGGTGCCACGCACTTTTAAACAACCGGATATTGTGAGAACTCACTCACTACCATGAGAACAGCAAGGGGGAAATCCGCCCCCATGATCCAATCACCTCCCACCAGGTTTCTCCCCCAACACAGGGGATTACAATTCAACATGAGATTTGTGTGGAGACACAGTGCCAAACCATATCCATACCCAAAGTCAGTGAAAGCAGAGACACAAACAGATATTTGTACATTCATGTCTATAGCAACATTATTCACAGCGGCCAGAGGGTGGAAGTAACCCAAGTGTCCTTGGAAGGCAGAATGGATGAGCAGAATGGGTCATCCACAGGCGATGGAACATTATTCAGCCTTAGAAAGGAGGAAATTCTGACATGTGCTACTCCACGAATAAACCTTGAAAACATTATGCTAGGTGAAATAAGTCCAGTCACAAAACGACAAATACTGAATGAGTCCACTCATATGAGGTACCTAGAGTAGCTGAATTCATACAGACGGAAAGTAGAATGGGGGTTGCCAGGGAAATGGAGAGTTGGTGTTTCATGGGTACAGAGTTTCCGCTGGGAGAGATTTTAAAATATCTAGAGATGGATAGTGGTGGTGGTTGCATAACAATGTAAATATAGTTAGTGCCACAGAACTGCACACTTAAAAATGGTTACGATGGTCAATTTTATGTTATATAGATTTTTCCACAATTAAAAAAAAAAAAAAAAAAAGTAGCCTTTTCACAAGATGGCGCCGAAAGAAAAGAAGGAAGCTCCTGCCCCTCCTAAAGTGGAAGGAAGTCAAAGTGAAGGCTTTGAAGGCCAAGAAGGCAGTGTTGAAAGGCGTCCACAGCCACACAAAAAGGAAGACCCACACGTCACTCACTTTCCGGTGACACTGTGACTCCAGAGGCAGCCCAGAGAGAACAAGCGGCCCAAATATCCTCGGGAGAGCGCCCCCCGGAGAACAAGCTTGACCACTATGCTATCGTCAAGTTGCCGCTGACCACTGAGTCAGCAGTGAAGAACATAGAAGAAAACAACACACTTACATTCATTGTGGATGTTAAAGCCAACAAGCACCAGATCAAGCAGGCTGTGAAGAAGCTCTATGACATTGATGTGGCCAAGGTCAGCTCCGGTTCGGCCTGATGGAGAGAAGAAGGCATATGTTCAACTGAATCCTGATTACAATGCTTTGGGTGTTGCCAACAAAATTGAGATAATCTAAACTGAGTCCAGCTGGCTGATTATGTGTGTATATATATATATGCACAAGAAATAAATGTTTGCTTTTATTTGTCTGCTTGTGAGGGTCAGATCTTAAGAAAAGTTTACAGAAGTTAAGAGTGATGGTGATGCCACAACTGGAAAGACTGGGCACATGGAGGTTCTTGCCCCAGTGAGGGCACTGCTGCTTTCCAGCGAGGCTGTTTTCAAGCCTGAATCCTGAGCCTTTGTTCAAAGCATGTCATCTCTCCAAGGTCCTGAGCAGACCACCCCGAAGGTGCAGTGGAGATGGTTTGGGGAGGGGTGGAGTCATGGCTGTGGAGTACAGCAGGGGTACCATTGGCTCAGAAGTCCTTTCTCTCTATGACAGAAACCAAACTGCTGGTTGTGTGTCTAGCGACAAACCCAGGAACCTGTGAAAATTTGAAAGCACTGAGCAACCCCTAACAAGAGCATTCCCTCAGTCCCTGATACCAAAACACCTGGCATCCCAGGTGAAGGCCTAGCTCAGCTGCCATCTCCAGGAGGGAGCCGAGGTCTCACCACAGCAACACACCTGCTATCCCATCCCTCCAAGACGCAGCAGCCCAACTGCTCCATCCAGTCCCTTCATTTCACTGCATCACTGGCCAGTGGAGTCAGTGTTTAATATACTAATGTTGGCAAATTCCATGATCACACAAATGTAAATATCTATACCTAGTATTTGCATTTGATATATAAACATGCTTGTTGTATAATGAGAATTACAGTTATCCCAGCCCAGGGTGGTATCCAACAACTCCTATGATTCACACCAGCTCCAATGCTCTGAGCACGGGATAAATACTGAACCAGGGGAACACAGTAGGCCTGGACTAGGTGGAAGGGCAGTCGACCCCAGCTCAGGGACATTGCTGGAAGCCCAGGGTGGACCACACAGGTATAGGGATTAGGAAACCAAAGACGATTGAAATGAAGTGTCCACCTTCAAGGAGTGTGAGCCTCCAGGTGCCTACAGAAAGAGCAAAAGCAGTAAGGCCCACCATCACTGACTGGGTGCCAGGCACTATCCTAATTTCATAACAACATTTAATCATTGCAACAATCTTTTGCAGTAGATACTGGTTATTGTCACCACCTCACAAATGGGGAAACTGAGGCATGGAGCATTAGGTAACTCCCGACACCACCCAGTTCCTCACAGCAGGTAGCCTGGGTTTTAGCCACCTGAGTCTGCAGACCTGCCATGCTGTAGGGTGCAGCCTAGTCCCATAACCCAAGCCAGAAGGTGAGGAAGGTTTCCAGGCTGCATGAAATTCTCCTGGAGGGAGCTGATCCCATTCTGGATAGTAGATTCCAATGGAGGAAGGTAAAACCCTTATAACTCATGAGGGCCACACTCATACTTAATAAACAAGGACCCAAGGCCAGGAAGGGACCACGTGAAGATTCTGGTTGGGCCTTGCTGGGAGCATCCAGCTTGCTCTTCCAGATGGCTGTGAGTGTCTGGCAGAGTTTACCACTTATGGTCACAACACAAGCAGTCTGCTTTGATGAGAAAGCCTGGCTCCAAGCCAGGGCTCACATGGCAGGTGCATGATTATTTATTAAGCGTGCAGGGTCCCAGAATCCAGCACCCAGCCTGGCCTTCCACGGGCTTTACAGGGAAGCAGCTATGCTGGGTGGTAGGAGGTAAGGAGGAAATGAGGGTTTATAGAGGTAGGAGGGAGCAACCGGGGTAGAGAGTACACTCCCTTTTTCCCTATAAGACAGCTGTTCCATTACATCCTGAATTACCCAACTCTCAATACTGTTAAAACATAAAGCTTGCATTGTTTTGGTTACTTTTAAAGGCAGTTGTAATTTTGAAGTCCATAGGTAGAGTTAGGGCAGGATTGTTTGAAGATCTGGGCCAAGACCTGCCTCTGACCTGGTCTCCGTGCCCAGCTCATTGGCCTCTTCTGCCCAGAAGCCAACCTGCAGTGAGTGAGATCCAGGACGCAGGAACAAAGTCTGCCTTCACACAGGTACACTGGTGGCAGCCCCAGAAGCAACCTGCCCTTACACAAGGCCATGAGCCCCAGGCATCGGATTCTTCCTTCTCCACACTGCTCTCTGGCGTGTTTTCCTCACTTCCCTACTTGCTCCTTTACCTTTACCTTCCTATCCTTCCTGGGCTCCCAGAAACACCACAGGACCGGAAGCCAGAAGACTCAGCATCTACAGACCCAGTAACTGGAAAACGCAAAGCAAATCGGTCCACACTGTTGAACATCATTAGTTTCCACCTCCAGAAAATGGGACCTTGGGGAAGATGGATCTGCTATACTAGTCTCACAGGCTGAGGCAGTGATCATATGAGAGCATGGGTCCTTCAGAACCTTTTACATACTGTGCGAACGTGCCAGGACGGGAAGCCCCAGCAGAGATGGCTAATAAGGGGCATCCCAGAAGAAATGTGTGACCATTTCATGGGATGTTTTCTCCAAGCTAAAGGTGATGGAACATCCTATTCATTATCTTAGACCCTAATAATTAGCTGTTCAATCAATGAGTGCATAAATGAGCCAAAACCAGTTAAGGATACATGCATCTGAAATTAACGAACACCCACTGAGCTTTCATTATGTGCCAACTCTTGTCATGGGTTTCCTTTGTGTGAAATTCAAAGACTAAATCACCTTCTAATGTAAAGGCAATAAAGAGGCAAACAACTCTGATTCAAGGCAGAGGCACTGGGGGAGAAGTAAAAAATACAGTGCGGATTCAAAAGGAGGAAAATGCTACATCATTGGGAGGTCAGGAAAGGTTCACTGGCCATGACACATGGACAGAATTCCAAACTGTGTCACCAAGAAAGGGTGTCCCAGACCAAGGGAATCATCTGCCCGAAGCTATCAAGGCAGAAGACGTGGGACTTGGAGGGAGCAGTAAAACCAAAGCATAGGTGTAAGTGGAAGTGCAAGAAAAAAGTGGACACTAAACCAGGAAAATGTGATTGGATCCAAAGAACAGAGGTCTCCAAGTGTCAGCTGAGGATGTTAGATTTACTCTCAGGACAGGAATGAGTGTCTGGATTCTTCCAGGCATTGACTGACACAACAGATTCCTTTTGCAGAAGAGCAAGTGATCAGTTATGGTTTCAATTAATAATCCCCTGCCTAAACATAACTTCCTGCTCCCTGGTACAAACACTCTCTCCCAAGTGAGCAAGTCACTAGCCCCTGAAACCTAGCGATCATCACGTATTAAATGGGATTAGCAGTGCCCAGATCACAGTGTTGTTCTGGGAATTAACTGTGACAAGAGCTACGCAAGTATCTGGCTTGGAGATGTGTCTTTTTGTCGAAAGTACAACAACAGCTTTTTTTGGTAGGGACTTATTTGCGATACAGACACACCTAAAATGAGGAAATACATTCCAGAATTATCTAGCTGAAGAAGACTCCATGTCATAGGTTAGGAATTTCAGGGGTGGGAGTCAGTGGCTTGCCACAGCATTGAGCCCAGAGACCGGGCCTCCTGACCCCAGCATCCTCTCTCTTGCTGCTGGTTTCTCAGAAATCAAACACCAGAGAGTGAGTAAATGCACCTGGAATGCTTCCTGCAACAGAAAAGCCTGGCCTTTCTTGCTCATCCTAATCCCCCATCCATTAAAAGTCCTGAGTGCAGATGTTGAAGACAACATTGACCAACTCTGCAAAACCGCTTTGTTGCTGGCTTGCATAGAACAGAGAGTGCAGGTGGTCAACCACGAAGTCAAGAAGATCACCTTATACGGACAGAACCTTGCCTTGACTCTGGAAGCTATATCCTATCTACCTCCCATCCCTAAATGCACAGGTGGCATGAGTTATTGGGTGTATCATTTTGCAGACTAGGAATTAATGGCTCAGAGAAATTGAACAACTACGCCAAGAACATATGGCTGGTAACCATCGATTGTCTCAGCTTCTGCAGCTTCTCAACATGCCATTGCCTTCACCAATGCTACCAGTTACCTCTGTGTTGCTGAAACCAGTGAGCACTCTTTCGGTCTCTCTCACCAAACACTTTCTTCCTAAAAGCCCTTATCGTCCCTTGGCTGTCATGACACCACACTCCTCTGGTTTGGTGCTCTCAGAACACTCCCTCGCACTGTTGTTGGTTAGCCCATCCAACTCTACTAGACCTCAGATGTTGGAGTTACCCAGGAATGCCCCCCTTGGCCCTCTCTGCTTTTCATTCTGCAGAGAGGAATTTCACGCACACCTTTGGCATTGATTGTCTCTCTAGGCCAGCTTAGAAGATATATCCCTGCCTGAATGGCCCATGCACTTCTCAAACTCCACAAACCCAAAGCCCAACTCACTGTCTGCAGCTTGTCCTTGTAAATAACAGCCCCATCCACCTGAAATGACTCTGGCTTGAGTCTTCTCTCTCCTCCGCTTCCTACACCCAAATAAACCTTTTCATTCCTCCTTCTAAGTATTAATAGCTCTTAAACCTTCAATTTCTACCATCCTCACCACCACCCTGCCTCTTATACTGGACTCATCTGGTAGCCTCTTAAATGGGCTCCCTGCAGCTACTCACATCTTCTTCCAAATCAGCCTCCACAAAGCAACCAGGCTGATGTTTTCAAAATGTAAATGGGACCATGTTACTCTCTTAAAATCTTTTGATAGGTGTCCAAATGAATGACTGGATAAACAAAATGTAGTATATACAGACAATGAAATAGTATTCAGCCTTAGAAGAAAGGAAATTCTCACACATGCTACATAGATGAGCCTTGAGGACACTGTGCTCAGTAAAAGAAGCCAGACGCAAAAGGACAAACACCGTGTGATTCCATTCAGATGAGGCACCTATACTCTGTTAAATTCACAGAGATAGAAAGTATAGCTGGGGTTACCTGGGGCTGGGAGAGAGGAAAGTGGGAGTTACTGTTTAA